GGGATAAAAAGATATTATATGTTTAAAAAAAATAAAACTTAAATTAAAAAAAAAAAAAAAAAAAAAAGAAATGGTGCTAATGAAACACAAATACCTCAATATTTTGTTGAAAATTCAATGTGGGTGCCTATACAGTGAAGTGAGAAGGATTTAAGAGTTACTTCAGTTTTATAAGGAATCAGTTGATTGATCTTACCTGATTGTGTATATGGCTTGATCCACCATGGCACAGTTCATTTCCAGTGTTTGTAGAAATTGAATCACTTCCTGTGATGGTTTGGATTTGTTGGCTAGAATGGGATTGTTGACAATGTGGAGAGTGGATGATCCTAGGTTCTTGGACAATGTGATGATGGCATTGGGCCTGTGGATAGTATTCCTAAAACACACATACATGCCAAAATAGCCACTGAGAATACAAATTACTAATTGAGAAAAACCCACTGAAAGCATTTGTAAAAATTTAATGTGTTCTTTCACAAGGTAATTCAATCCCTAGGATTTGTAGTTTTAGTATATGGTATATTATTTTTTCAAACTATTTCATTGGGAGAAATTTTATTGAATTATATATATATATACATATATATATAGATAGATCAGGTGGCTGTGACCATCCAAATACTTACCAAACTGGCCAGGGAACTGCATATTCTGATTAAATTAATATTCCAGTTATACTTAACACTAAGACTACAATGAATATTAATTACTCTTTGATGATTCAACAGGCACTTCAGCATCTAATTTCATAACAATACTATCATACTGAAGATGTAGATTGATATAAAATTAGAAAATAATATAATGCAGTGATTTTCAATATCAGGAAGCTTATTAGAATCACAGTGGGGGCAGACAAAATTCTTATGCTTATGAAAATCAAGCACAAATTAAGAGAAAAGATTGGAAAACAGTGACTGAAGCTTCAGATCTAGAAAACGGGGATCCTAACTAATTCTACCACTTACTCTATGATTTTGTAAAACTATGCAATCTTTATGAGCCTTAGTTTTCTCGTTTGCAAATATAGAGATAACATGTGTCTCATTGGGTTGCTGTGAGGAGTAAATGAGCTAATGTTTATAAAGTGCCTATTACAAAGTAGGTGGGTAATAAACATTTATTATTATATTATTAGTTTATTATCATGAATTATCACCCACTCCACTAATTTTGCAGGTGGTAAAAAAAAAAAATCCTAAGGTCCAGAGAGGTAAGATGCTTTACTTATAATGATATGACTATTCTTGGAAAAATTGGGATTGGAATTGATCATTTCTAGCTCAAAGTTCTTTCAGAACATAAAGCTGACTTTTTACTGCCCTCAAAACAGTCTGGAACTTGTTTTTAAACTAAATCTTTACTATCTGCTTGTTTATTTGTCTTGGCTTTCTTTTTTCTGATAAAGTATAGGTCAAAGAATAATAAAGAATATCAGGTTTTTACAGGCTTGAGGATTTCAGGTATATGTCAATTTCCTAAATTATTTTGTTATTATTCTACTTTGATAACAGGCATCTGAAAGACAGTGTTCAAAAAAAAATTCTCTATTTTGAATCAGAATGTTACATTCAGGCATGCCTGGGTGGCTCAGTCATTAAGCGTCTGCCTTTGGCCCAGGTCACGGTCCCAGGGTCTTGGGATTGAGCCCCACATCAGGCTCCCTGCTCAGCGAGAAAACCATTTCTCCCTGTTCCACTCCCCCTGCTTGTGTTCCCTCTCTCACTGTCAAATAAATAAATAAATAATATATTTTTAAAAAGAACACTACATCCATGCAGATATATTTAGCTTTGGAAGTATAAATTCAATCCTCTATTTCCTTTTGACAGTGGATAGCTGACATGCATTAATAAAGTAAAGCACTTCAAATCTTTTATTTCTTTTAATATGGAATAATTTCAAACTATATTAAATGAAAAAAGCAAGGTACAGAAGAAAGAATATGCTATGCTCCCTTTTATATAACATTTTAAAATATATACATATGTGTATATTTACAAATATATACAACTTCTTTTAAATACATAGAGCAAAAATCTTTTAAGGGTGACTGTCCATGGGAAGAGGAACTCAAAGACAAGAGGGTTAGGATAGAGAAGGTTTGTTTTGTTTTGTTTTTTGTTTTGTGTTTTACTACTGTATATATTTTTATTCTTTTTTTATATACTTTTTGGACCTTTTTATACTTTTTATGCTTTGAAATTTTTAACATGTATATAAATTATCTTATGTGTACAAAATTATTTTGAAAGAAAAATATATAAAGAAACATATTTTACGAATAGAAACCACCTTAGTAGTAATTGATAATAAAGGTCATAGAATCTGTTCATAGAATCATTTTCTCCAGGATCTTTTCAAATATGACGCATTTTATATGCTAACACTAAGATCTGTACAGTTTAAAAGTCAGACTGTGAACTATCAGCCATTTTGGTACAAATTGTATGGGTGAATGTATTATCTGTTCTTTTATGTTACAAAATACCCTCATACACTGGTTTAGAATAAAGTCAGAATGATAGGCTAAGAAAACCTTCACCCAGTGGGGAACTTTTACACTACTGCAATAGAATTCCTCCTGAAAAAAAAATTAATGTGTCTTTAAAAAGAAAGTTAGGAGACACTTTGAAGGACATATCAATGTAGGACAATAAACAAAACAAAATCATTTCTCAATCATCTTTCTTTATTAATATATCAGTTGACTCTTAAACAGAATGCTGACAGTCTCTCCATCTGGGGTGTCTTGTGGTTTTGCTGAGCCTATCTGGCCTCTGAACACTCATTAGTATCACTGAAGTCTTAGCAGATTTTCAGTTTCAATTATCATACCTGATTACTAAAATTATTGTTCTAAAGCATGATATTCGTATATTACTCATATTTTTGAAGTGTACCACAAGGTAGATTTTTTTTTAAAGAATTTATTTATTTAGTTGGCAGAGAGATCACAAGTAGTCAGAGAGGCAGGCAGAGAGAGAGAGGAGGAAGCAGGCTCTCCTCAGAGCAGAGCCCGATGTGGGACTCGATCCCAGGACTCTGAGATCATGACCTGAGTCAAAGGCAGAGGCTTAACCCACTGAGCCACCCAGGTGCCCCCACAAGGTAGATTTTTAATGTATAAAAATCAAACATTTCTGAATAATCACATATTTTGTCTTCTTTGATAGAGAAAAAAATATACAGAGTACAGTTCATATGAACTACATAATTATCTTGCAACTGGCACCAATTTACCACCCTTCCATGACAAAGACCTCTGTTTTGGGCAGGTCTTATCTCCTAAGAGCTAGTCCTACTTGAACTAGTCTCATATAACATTAATTATTTCATCCTGACTCCAGCTTTCCAGCTTGTCCTACTGCATCTCTTATCACTGAGGAAACTCAACTAGGTCAAGGCATTTGTAGTTTGTTCCATATGCGTGGTTCCTTTTACTCTGGGTAGTCTTTCATGGCAGTTCCCAAACTCCCAAATCATTTAAGTCACTAATAAAAAAAGTGTATGTAAAAAGGTAAATATTCAAACTAATAGTAAGTAACTGTATTGTTCTTTCAAAGGAATTTTTCTTTAACTGTTCCATATGTATAGCAATAAGAATGTACAGGATATTCAGCATTTTCCTCTAGGAACCAAGATTTAAAAAAGTATTTATCCTTTTTGAGACAAGAAATTAAAAGGAGCATGAAATGATGTGTCTCAAAAATTTCTTACTTTTTAAAATGTGTCAGATTTATTGTTTTGTCAATCTAGTTGGATAAAGGACAGATGTTATAATTTGATAGCTTGAGGAAAGTGCCCCTTAAAGAACTGACATATTTGATAAAATTTTTCTATTTGGAATCATAATGTCCAGAAATATTCTGTTGTTCTTCTGAAAGATATTTGTTCCATACATACCATACCAAGCCTTCTAATATATCCAACTTTCTAATTAGACCAGAGTCTTAAAGGTATGGATTTTTATTATTCTGAGAGTTTACACTATTTTATTTTTAATAAGCATCAAATAAGTAATAATGTATTAGTTCCTATGAATTTGATAACAACTGCCCATAAATACTCATAAAAATATGTTCTTATTCCAAGAAAATTTAAAAGAATTTAACATACTTTAATATTTCAATTGCATATGAGAAAAAATGACTTTGTGATAAAAATTCATTTGATATTATTTAACTGCCTGTTATAGGTTAAATTTTGTCCCTCCAACAAAATGCAAATGTTAAAGTCCTAATCCTTAGTACCTCAGAAAGTGACCTTGTTTAGAAACTGGGACTGCTCCTTTTTTTCCCCCTTGAAACAAAGCTTTTATAGAAGTAAGACATTAAAATGAGGTAATTAGAATGGGTCCTAATGAAATATGACTAGTATTGTCATGAAAAGGGAAAATTTGGATACAGAGACAGACTTGCACAGAGAGAAGATGATATGAAGACACACAAGAAGGATGCCATGTGAAGATAAAGGATTAAAGTTATGCATCTACAAACCAAGGAGCACCTGAGACCACAAGAAATTAGGAGATAGGCATAGAAGAGATCCTTCCCTGAAGACTTCAAAGGGAGCATGGCCCTGACAACACCATGATTTCATACTTCTGACCTCCAGACCTGTGAGACAATACATTTGTGTTGTTTTAAGCCAACCAGACTGTGGTACTTTGTTACAGCAGTCCTAAGAAACTAACACACTGCCCTATTTCAAGTATGTCCAAAAGACAAGTCCTAGGCTCTGTCTGGGCTGGAAATGTTTGTATCCACTGAGATCAATGTGAAACTTCTGCTGGCTACAGTAACAACCCTGCTTGTAAGTCTAGTATCTTTACATGCTATGGAATTACCATTGCCCTGCTACAGTTTTGAATGTTGTACTTGCTCCCTGAGCTGAATTAATGAAATTTTTAAAAATGTGACTTGAACTACAGTTTTCTACACTTTTACAGAATACAGTATTGTACATATCTGTTCATATGTAGCGTTCACTTGAAAATTCACTTTATTTTTTTTTTTGCATTTTTTCAAGTTTTTATTTAAATCCTATCTAGTTAACATGTAGTACAACACTGGTTTCAGGAGTAGAATTTAGTGATTCATCACTTACATATAACACCCACTGCTCATCACAGCAAATTCTCTACTTAATGACCATCACCCACTTAGTCTATCCCTTGCCCATCTCCCCTCCATCAATCTTCAGTTTGTTCTCTATAGTTAAGAGTCTCTTATGGTTTGTTTCTCTTTTTCCCCATTCCCCTATGTTCATCTGTTTTGCTTCTCAAATTCCACAATTAAGACAAAGTTATAATGTTTTAAATTATAATTTTTGTGAGACCATTTCAAAAGAGACATACAAAGCATTGGGATATTTGTATTAAATTCAGTTTCTACCATTAATTTTGTATGTGACTTGACTCATTTTTACTTTAGTTTCCCCTTCGGTAAAACAGGGACAATAATACTTCACATGGATAGAATGAATATGAAAGTGTTAAGGATGATATGAAGGACTGGAGACATAGTAAGGTATTATTCTGACTCATAGTGGCCTTGATGGGCACTTGACAATTGAGTGCCATTTTCACTCTATTAAAATTCTGGCAATTCAAAAGTATACACTTAATAAGCTTTAAAACAAATTTTACATACCTGATCCGTATTTAGTTTCTCTACCTTTCTTATTGTTTTTTCATAAATAACATTGTTTCCTGGGAAGAAATGGCCTCCTCTTAGGAATGGAGAAAGTGGTTCCTATAAAGACAATAATGACTGTGTTTTTGTCTTTTTTTTTTTTTGAAAGATACCTTTTCAGAGGAACCTTAACTTAAGCAAATATCTAGTCTTTAATAAACTCTGAGTTAGTAGCATATTAGGAGAATAGAATGAGAACCGAATAAAGTTTTTTTAATCATTTTTTAAATTTATTTTCAGCATAACAGTATTCATTGTTTTTGTACCACACCCAGTACTCCATGCAGTCCGTGACCTCTCTAATACCCACCACCTGGTTCCCCCAACCTCCCACCCCCCCCTCTTCAAACCCTTCAGATTGTTTTTCAGAGTCCATAGTCTCTCATTGTTCACCTCCCCTCCCAATAAAGTTTTAAAAGATGTAAGGAAATAGTAACAAAGATGGTCTGTTTTCTTAAACAGAGTAATCTGGATCTCTCCTACTACCTTTTACTAGGCCTAACAAAGTGTTTCAGGGGAAATTGGAAGGGGCTGAGAAAGATATTTTTCCTTTTTTTTAAAGTAAAGTCTCAAACAGACAACCCCAACGTCATACAAAAACTTCCAGAGGACAGAAAAGAGTTTTTTCTATTCTTAAGGCAAGATACAGTGAGTTTCCTCTGAGGTAGATAGGCATTAGGTCAACTTCATTTAAATTGAGTTCACTGGCACGTTTCTTTCTTTGGAAAAATATTATTGGAGATATGTAATATAAACAATTCATCAGTGAGCTGTGAATTAGGTAAAACTATATTAAAGATTTTTTTTCCTGGAACTTAGCTTTGGTGCCCTTGAAGTGTACAATTCTTACTTGTGATTATAATCAAAGCTAAGGCTGTCTTTACAACATGTGTTTTGAATACTGAGAACAGAGTAGAGTCAGTAAGTGCCAAGGTATCCCCATATAATCAACTAAGTTGATGCAGGATTATCCAAGTGCTTAAAAGATATCAGCCAATGAAATAAAGGCTGGTGACATGTCTAATATCTGAAAGAAAACAGGGAAGGACTAATAAGGATCAGATCAATAGTTTAAAACAAATGCAGGGGAGCCTGGGTGGCTCTGTCCTTAAGCGTCTGCCTTCGGCTCAGGTCATGATCCCAGGGTCCTAGGATTGAGCCCCACATTGGGCTCACTGCTGAATGGGAAGCCTGCTTCTCCCTCACCCACTCCCCCTGCTTGTTTCCCCCTCTCTCGCTGTGTCTCTCTCTGTCAAATAAATAAAACCTTTAAAAATAAAATAAAATAAATGGAATATTACTATATTTCCTATCCTTCTTTTAGTTTTCATATGAGTCTATTTGTATGGGGGGAGTTATGGTTGTTTTGCTACAAAGATTAATTGCATTCATTTATTTTTATAATACAGGGGAACAGTACAGAAGGGGATTGACCAAACCTGCTACTAGTTAATGTGTTTAAGACCATTTCAAAATCAAAACATGCTAGTGTTTTTGTCGTCTGGTATTGTAAAAACTCTTAAAACAACTGGATGAAAACACTGGTTGTTGAGAATGCAAGATGTTCTTAAATCCAAAGCTATGTACTTCTTATATTCAAGTTTGAATAAAAAGTGCTTTAACTAAATGTTCCTGGAATATTTTGGTGAAACAAATATGCAATTGATTAAATTTGGCTAGCTGATGAATTTTTAAATCTAAAGGTAGATATATTTAGAAGGATTCTCCTAGAAGCTCTTCTGTGTTTGTATGTCTTTGTAAAAAATGAAAAAAGAGTTTTTGTAGTTATTTGCAATCGTATAACACGTTTGAGAGCTTACTAAGCACAATATGCTTTGCTATGTTTTTTTGACCATTTTTACTGAGATATTTAATACTTACAGTTATATATAAGTCTAGCATTACAATAGCTTCAAACTGTAACACTATAGTCATTATTTAATGACCTATTTAATGTCAACATAACTGATATCAGTATACTTTAGCTTAGTACATATTATTGGTAATAGTAAAGATTAAAAATATAAAAGGCGACTTGACTGAAATATGCACATTTATGTAAATGTAGGCTGTATATCAATGATCTATTTTTTAAAAAATGGCTACACTTTCTTACAAAAAATACATTTCTTTTCCTCATTTTCCACTTTGCTATTTTGAAATTCTTTTTTTATTATGTTCAGTTAGCCAACATATAGTACATCATAAGTTTTTGTTGTAGTGTTCAATGATTCATTAGTTGTGTATAACAACCAGTGCTGAGTTTTATAAGGAATGAATCACACTTAACTTATTACCAGGAACACTGAATATTGATCAGTATTCACCAGACTGTAGCCAGCAGCCTATTTTTATAATGTCCTCAAGCTAAGAATGATATTTAGATTTTTAAAGAACTACAAGTACAAAGAAGGCCAAAAACTGATGGTGAGAGAAGACCCTAAAATATTTACTATTTTGCCCTTTACAGGACATTTTTTTGATCCCCAGTGTAGATAATATATGAACATAAACATCTATGATACAAGGTAGAAAGAAGCTAGCCCTTGTAAAAGGTACAGAGAAATAAGTTATGGAATGGAATTCAGAAGAGGAAAAATTGAATTCCACCTGGCAGTGCTCAGGTTAAGTTACTTGGATCAGGTGGCATTTGAGAAAAGATTAAGGTGGGCCTTGCATATGAGGAAATAGAAGAAAATGGTACTCCAAATGAAGTAAACAAAATAAGTCACGAAACCAAGCCTGTAAAAGTATAAATTACATGTAAGGGACACAAATGAGTCCTTGAATGCTTTTAAGAATGGACCGAGGTGAACATAAATCTACTTCAGGGAGATTTGTTGGAGAAACAAAAAAGTACAGGTAAGGAGACCAGTTAAGAGATTATCTTAAATCATGAAGGACAGTACTTTCCAAAGATGACTCTAAGATCTTAAATCTGAGAAATCTACTACATAGCTGATGGTGTCAAAAACAAAAACAAGGAAAGTTGAGACACATTGAATTTTATGCGCTCCTGGTAAAAATCTAGGTCTGATTCATGTTTTTATTCCTTATAACATTTAGTAAATATATAGTGCATAGCAATCCCTTAAACATGTATTAAATTACTGCAAAGGGTTAGCAAAGGGACTTTTACCAAAATGCACAGGAAGGCATTCAGGTTATAAATGTCCAACACACACATGAGTGGAGATTTCATGGCTACAGTTCTAGTTCTAGATTTCAGAATCATATGCTTAGAAGTTCCTGTTAAAATCATGCAATTGCTGAAAAGCCAAGTGAATATCAAAGACATAATTATATAAGTCTTAAGGGATATGAGAATCAGAAGAGAAAAATGAAATAAAATCAAGAGAAGAAGAATTTCCATAAAGCAGTGGAGGGGTGAGTGACAGTAAAAACGCTTCTGAGATGTCAACAGATGAGAATTCTAAAGTGGATTTGATTTGGACTACTACAGAGCCATTGGATCTGACTACTGAAATTAGTGAAAGAAGGAGTAATGGAAAAAAATTCTAGAGTCATAAAACCTGTATTCAACTCTGCCTCTATCACCCACATGCTGTGGAAATGTAGGAAAGTCATTTACCTTCTCTGAGGCTTAGTTTTCTTATCACAGAGATAGTAACGTAGAATACTTTATACTGGGGCACCTGGGTGGCTCAGTGGGTTAAGCCTCTGCCTTCGGCTCGGGTCATGATCCCAGGTCCTGGGATCGAGCCCCACATCGGGCTCTCTGCTCCACAGGGAGCCTGCTTTCTCCTCTCTCTCTGCCTGCCTCTCTGCCTGCTTGTGATCTCTCTCTGTCAAATAAATAAATAAAATCTTTAAAAAAAAAAGAATACTTTATACCAAGCAAAATAACGTATTTTAAACTACCTTTAATCTGTGATTTTAATGTACAAATGACATTGGTTTTTAATAATATAATACTTTAAGTCTGTACTGCATTTTAAAAAGTTAGTGAAAACCTTGTTAGAACTATTCTAAGATGTCAAGATAAAGTATATACAAAAATAGGCTTATTGAAGGCAAGGACTGTATTCATCTTGAATACACAATAGTGAATGAACAGATGACTGGATGAGGAGAGATGATATGAATATTTATCTTAAGGATTTAAGTACCCTCTAAAAGGGGAAAACAAAGCAAAGGAAAATTTCTCTCTGTTCACTATAAGTGCTAAATCATCATTATTTTTAAGAAGAAAAATGGTTTGGGTTCTAACAGTGTTGATTCTCTCCTAAATGTGTGTTGGACTTATTATTTTAAATGACTTATTGAAAAAAAATTCCAAATTTAGGGAGCTATTTTTCCCCAAAATGTTTAAAGACGTAAAACCAAATTTTAGTATATATAAATATATCATTCTTAGTAAAACAGTTCACCAAAATAAATTTAATTACAAGTCTTAGATTTTTCACAAATGAGCTGTTAGACAGCGTTACTATTTTGGCAGCTTATTTTTTTTTTAATCTGTACATTTGAATTGGTGCCAGAGTCACCCTAAAAATTAGTAGGTGTCTTCAAAGATGGTTGATTTTATCATTTTAATTGTTACTTTTAGAACCTCTGGCTGTAGTTCTCACATCTAACAAAGTACATAATCCCCAGCATCTACTTTGCTGTTCCCAGGCCATGAAACCTTGCTGGAGAAACTTAAAAAAATATTTGCTGATTTGGCTCAGTACAAATGCAAGTTATTTAAATTTAAGAGCGCCTCTAACCTTCATGGTCATAGTTGTATTTATCAAATTCTCTATAACTGTGGTTGCAATTTTCTTTTCAATTTCCTCAATCCCCTATGCTCACATTCCTTCATTCTCTTTCTTCTTATTGAGAAAACAAAGACCTATTCAATGAGATTCCTTCATCTTCCTCCCTACCTCAAAACCTCTCTTCAATTTCTGCTCCTTCCATCTCATTACCAAGAAAGACAAACTCCTCCTTTTATCCTGAAGTCACTTCTCTATACCTGGAATTCTATCCCCTCTTGTTTCTTCCACAATTGTGTCCATTTGTCCCCTTGCCCTGTGGCATCTTTAGTTTTACTACTGGTTCTTTTTCCTTTGCTTGTAAATCTCTCAGATCTCCAAGATTCTGTTTTCTCCTTTAGCTACCAACCTATCTGCTTCTTTTGAGCAATATCCTTCTTAGAAGAGTATTCCTCATTTATTTCCTCCATTTCTTGATCTATCCACCCATTAACTTTGCACATCTGGGTTTTGCTTCCAAAATTATAAGGAAACTCTCAAATATCACCATTACTTAATGGTCGAACTCTTTATTCTCAAACCTCATCCTCATCCTCTTTGGCCTCTTGGCTATTTGAGACAGTTGACCACCCTTTTCCCCTATTTGTTTTAGTTACATTTAGAACACATTTAGAAATGTGTTCACATTTCTTTCTGACAACTTCTCTGCCCATGAAAGTGGCTCCTTTTTATTTCCTTAACAGCATTAAGGAACATACCTTTCCTTAAATGACTTAAGCTAGGCATTTCTCAAGGTTCTGTGCCTCAACCCTCTCCATTACCCATCGGGTTTTTCATTCGTTCTCACAGCTACAATGACAATTTTCAAAGGAATAACTCCCAATGACTCTCTATCTCAAATGTGACATTTCTCCAGGTCATTTTTTATTATTATTAAGTAAGTTCCACACCCAGGGTGGAGCCCAATGTGGAGCTTGAACTCATGACCCTGAGATTAAGACTTGAGCTCAGATCAAGATCAGTTACTCAACCAACTGAGCAACCTAGCTGCCCTCTCCAGGTCTTTTTTTTTTTTTTTTTAAGAGAGAGAGAGAACAAACGGGGCGGGGCGGAGGAAGAGGGAGAGAGAGAATCCTGAAGCAGACTCCCTGCTTGGCATGGAGCTCTACATGGGGCTCAATCTTAGGACCCTGAGATCATGAACTGAGCTAAAATCAAGAGTCAGCCATTTAACCAACTGAGAAACCCAGGTGCCCAACTTTTCTTCTTTTTTTTAACACCATATTCAACATAAGTTATCAAATCTTTTCAAAATTAACCCCAGAATAACTCAGAAAAGACAATAATAGATTTGGAGTCAGAAGACCTGAACAAGTCACATTTATTTAAGATTTAGTTTCTTCATTAGTAAAATGATACTAGCAACAATGTTAACTGTAATAATACCTTAAATATCACAGTAAATCCTTCTCTGATTCTCAGAAACAAATGAGTTGTCTCCAACCCCTAGAACTTCAATAAGACTTCATCTGTAATTTTCTTGTGTCATCTATCATACGCCCCACCATATATTTTGCATGGCTATTTATGGACATATCTTATTTCCCTTGTCAAGAGGAGCTGTGAACTCTTTTGTTATGGGAACCATGTCTTGTTTCCTTCCCCCCAACCATATGAAGGCTGTACAGTTTCCTCTCCATAGCAGGAGTTCAACAACTAGAAAATTAATAAAACTTATTAATATCAATTGGATTCTCTCTACTGGCAGAACAAAAATATTTTCTTCATTTCTAGGTCAAATTGTATACCAGAATGCATGAATACTTTGATTAAAATGACAATAAATGGAGCTAAAGAAGATCAAAAGCAACCAAAAATTTAAAAAGGCTGAACAGAGGTAGAAGGAAATAATAATGAGAAGTAGATTGAGATCAGTTTAATTACAAGGAGGAGAAGCGAAGATTAGGCAAGCTGGGAGGTGAAAGAGGATAAAGTTGCCATTTAGGAGGCTCAGTTTATTATAAATATTGTAATTAAGCCAGAATCTTCTCCTGGGGGGATTTAAAAGAACAAACAAAAAGGCATATACTTAGGTAAACAAAATGAGGAATATATTTAAATAGGATATTCAAGCTGCTCTGCAAAATCAGATTATTTTTGTTTACAAAGCATAGAGGTTGAAATTTGTTTTATTCCTCAATAATAGAAACAGTTAAAAGCTTTAAAATAATCATTACCCTCTGTGGGGAGGGGGGGTCCCTAAGAAACCATTTGCTTCTTTGTAGTTGAACACAGCTGTAATAATAAGCTTTTACATGGGCAGGCTCAGTGTTACAAATATGTATTTCCATACATACTTCTAATTTCTCTGCCTTTGTATTACATTGTCACAGGGAATGATGGGGGAAAGTTGGTATGTGGATGAGTCTCTGGATCCTAAATCACCTATATCTTCAATGTATCTTTCCCAGATGAGAATTGTTCAATTTCTGTTCCCACTCTGTCACTTTGTAACTAAATGGTTTGAGGCTAGTTAAAAGCTTAAGTTTAAAGACTATTGGACTTTGTTTTGTTCACTGCTCTATCCCTAATTCTTGGAGTGATTTGTAGTACATAGTAGGCAATTGATAAATATTCATTGAATAAATAACTTAACTTCTTTGTGCTTCTGTTTTCTCAACTTTTTAGGTTTAAACAGGATAAAATATGTAATTTCTTATCATGGAGCATATATCCAATAAACATTAATTCTTCCTTTTCTCCGTTAACTTAAGAATAATAATTTATTGGGGCACCTGGGTGGCTCAGTGGGCTAAAGCCTCTGCCTTCCGCTCAGGTCATGATCCCAGGGTCCTCAGATCGAGCCCCACATTGGGCTCTCTGCTCAGCGGGGGGCCTGCTTCCTCCTCTCTCTCTGCCTGCCTCTCTGCTTACTTGTGATCTCTGTCAAATAAATAAACAAAATCTAAAAAAAAAAGAATAAGAATTTATCCAAAATCACATAAGAATCACTGGCAAAGTGTGTTGGAATTCAAATTATTTGATATTTAAAAATTATTCTGTGAATATATGCTAGGTAAACACAACAACTCACATTATGAAAAAAAAAAAGTGCTATCCAGAACTAACTCTTTGAAACCCAGGGATATCAAATGTAATATGCATCCAAGTACACATATTCCCCAGCTTGTAGGTGAAAGAAAGAAAAAGGAGAACAAGGGAGGAAGAATGGGAAAAGGTAAAGTGGCCATGTCATAGAAAAATGCACATTCTCATCTCTCAAGCTCTCTTTATGTCTCCCTTCCCCAACACACTTTTGAGATTTGTTGTTTAAAGATTTGATTCTGCAAAAGAAAGCACAAGCAATTGCTTTAGTGTAATCACATTCAGTTTTGATACTTATAATGGATATGTGAAAACTGAAGCAAGTGTTCAAAATAATCACCCCCCCCACCACAGAGCTTACATGCTCATATGTTCACACATGCATACGTACATAACTAACTCCCTTTGTAGCTGAAGGGACATGAGAAAATGATTTTAAAATAAACAAAGAAAGAAGAGGGGAGAACAGATAGCAAAAAAACAGTGCACCCCCCCACCCATGCACCTGGAGTAATATCAAGTGTGTTACCCTAATTTAATCCTTTGCTTTCCACAGCTGAAGCAAATAATTGATTTTATTTTGTGACAGAGGGGAGGATTCTTTCTTGCAATTGTGGAGAAATAAAATAAAGAACACCACAAAGAATTGCTGTATTATTATCTGTGGTACACTGTTTCTATTTGTGAAACTTTGTCCTTATAACCCCATAGAACAACCTGTTGCAGCTAAAGAAGGGCTGTATATAGCTTTGCGTGTGTGTAGAGGAAAGCTTTTTACTGTAGGAAAAGTTTTCTTAATTTTCCCCTCAAAATGAGATAGAGAATAATATAATAGTTTACAAAATATAAGGTTATATATCTCAGTAGAAAATAAAACTATAATTTTCGAAAGAGCTTATTGCTAGGCACAGAAGTTCATAGCATAGGCAATAAAGGCATGGAGACACTTTTGAACTTTTGATTTTTCATTTTCTTCCTCCTAGCCCATGTCTCAATGGCAAATCTAAATAAACTAAGGACTCCAACCTCTGATGTAATAGCTGATAACTTTTATGTGAAATCTGTGAAAGAACTTTGTCTTTTTATCCTTTGGTTCAAAGGATACAAAATCCTTTGTAGTATAAAGGTGGTGCTATAGAAGTAGAAAGATTTTATAACCCAAGAATGTCCATGCTGCTTGGAACAGTTGCATCACTAAATCAGAGTATATGGGCACATAGTTGTCTGGAATTTAAAATGACTTTTTAAAATAGTGATTCTAAGGGACACATGCACCCCAGTGTTTATAACAGCAATGTCCACAATTGCCAAACTATGGAAAAAGCCCAGATGTCCATAGGCAGATGAATGGATAAAGAAGATGTGGTACATATATAGAATGGAATATTACTCAGCCATCAAAAGAGTGAAATCTTGCTTTTTGCCATGATATAGATGAAGCTAGAGTGTACTATGCTAAGTGAAATAAGTCAGTGAGAGAAAGACAAATACCATATGACTTCATTCCTATGTGGAATTTAAGAAACAAAACAGATGAGCATAGGAGAAGGGAAGGAAAAATAAAATAAGATAAAACAGAGAGGGTGGCAAACCATAAGAGACTCTTAATTAAGAAACAAACAGAGTTGCTGGAGGGGAAGGGGGTAAGGGGAAGGGATAATTGGGTAATGGGCACTAAGGACAGCATTTAATGTAATGAGCACTGGGTGTTATATGCAACTGATAAATCACTAAAAAAATTTAAAAATTAAAAAAATAGAATCTTTAAAAATATTTTTAAATGATTTCTAATACTAATGATTAGAAATTAACTTTAAAACTAGAAGAAACTCCCAATGATCTGATTTTAGGGACCTGGCAACTGAGTCACCCTTCTCGTTTAAGCTATCAACTTCTAAGAAATTATAGGTTGGAACAGGAGTTTGTGTGATATAGCTCACCTGTTCAGGATTTTGTACTATGTATCTCCTAATAGTAGTCTGTGGATATGCAGTGACTTTCACTGTTGGAGAATGGAGTTCCTGTAAAGAAAGATAAAAGCTGCATATAATTATAGTTGCTTAATGACCTTGAAGCCATTAATAATAATAGGGAGCAATTTTCAGAGTGAAATTTTAAAAGTCATTTGCATAAATGTTGACATGAATTTATGATTCTAGTTAACTTCAGTCTTAGAAACATATATGAAAGCATGTGCTTATGTGTTCAGCACTGTGCTAGGTATTTCTATTAAATACTCATTTCATGATAATTCATCACACATTCCAAGCTATAGTTGATGAAATTTCAAAATCTTCATTGCATTGTAATATCCCCACAATATTAGAAGAAAATGTAGCTTAATATTTATTATCTTACAATTTTTAAAAATCAAAGAGACACAGAGAGAAGAGTGTGTGTGTGTGTGTGTGTGTGTGTGTGTGTACTTAAACATGTAAATCTTCAGTGTGGTGATGGCAGAGGGCCATAAATAATATTAGAAGTGAGACAAAACATTAGAATAAAGTAATTTGTAAACTTTTGATGGAAAAAGAGTCAATATCATTAATATAGAGTTTTTATACTTCAATAAGAAAAAGATTCATACTAATAGAAAAATGAGCAAATGGCATGAACATTTATAAAAGAAAAACAAATGTTTAATAAACAGCAAGAACTATTCAACCAAACTAAGAATCAAATAAACATAACAAAGGTACCATATTTTAACTGGAAATAAATTTCAAATAATAATACTGATGAAGGTACACCAAGAGGAGCACTTTCCTATGGAGAGGGGAAAGATTAATCATCTACAGGCTGAAATATGTAGCTACTAAAATAATGATTTTGAGTCATACAAATTTACATGAAAAAGCTCATAGTATTATATAAGGTTAAGTGAGAAATGAAGATATAGAACTGCATATATGGTATGATCTCAATTCTTTATTTGAATGGAAGAAAATGTAAAATGCTAATAATACTATCTGTGGGTAAGGGAAGAGATCATGAGTGATTTTTATTTCTTCTTGTCTACGTTTTTTATGGTTCCAAAATTCTCCACAATAAACATATTTGTATTATCATAAATAAAACATCATAAACCCAATTTTAATGCCTTCATTATGAAAAATAACAGCTAATGCAATTTGCTGCCTGGATTTGAATGTAGTGAATATCTCTGTGATTTAAGTGGGCTTACTTTTCCAAGGTAATCTTGTCTTGGTGACCTTTAGAGCTCTATTTCTATCGCTGTTGTAGCCTTTATCCTACTTATGTTTTGCTGTGTATGGGATCCATGCTAGTCTGAGAGCTCTTTGAGAATAGTAATTGGATCTAATACATCTTTGTACAATATTTGATAAATAGTCAGCACTCAGCAATTGTTTGCTAAATATATGCATGACCCTAGGGTTATCTGGGTGGCTCAGTGGCTTAAATGACTGACCTGATTTCCCAGGGTCCTGGGATCCATCCCCACACAGGGCTCCATGCTCAGCAGGGAGTCTACTTCTCTCCCCACCCCGCCCTGCTCCCTGCCCACTCCCGCTCTCTGTCTCTCTAAATAAATTAATTAATAAATAAAATCATGACTCTAGCCAACTCAGCTCTAGGCTAGGCCAAATTGGGAAATGGTAGACAAACTTTTGATAATCTTATTTGTTTTGCATAAGATCAGCTTTTCCTTGCTGTACTAAAGTCTAGAGACCAGTTTTTGTCCCTTTGTTCCCTACTGTTCAAGCTCATACCTTGGTACCTCATCTGGGCGGGACTGCTTTCTTAGAACACCATCTTTCTCCCTCTTAGCCTCCAAGTGTCACATCCTTTATACTCCTGTCCTATGTAGTAACAAATTTAGGATGTTTTGTTATTTTATTTTCTTTGGATTCACTTTTTAATGAATGTGACTAGCTCATTAAATACATATTTGTTAACATGGCATTCAATTACTATTATAGGTATCTTTTGGAGATATAGTGCCTAAACTCCAGGGTAATCTTAAATGTGGGATTATTAAGTTGTAAAAACTAGGGGAACTAGATCCTTGCATATCTTTCAAATCACGTACCTTTCAGAAGGTCTAGTTATGACACTATAAGTTTTTCTCTCTGAATGCAAACTGACCGTGCTATCACTCCCAAAGTCAGGTCCTTGACCAATCCAAGATCTAAGTACTTTATTTGTGGGGCACCTGGGTGGTTCAGTGGGTTAAGCCTCTGCCTTCAGCTCAGGTCATGATCTCAGGGTCCTGGGATCGAGCCCAGCATTGGGTTCTCTGCTCAGTGGGGACCCTGCTTCCGCCTCTCTCTGCCTGCCTCTCTGCCTACTTGTGATCTCTCTTTCTCTATCAAATAAATAAATAAATAAAATCTTTAAGTACTTTACTTGTGCTAAACTCAAGGGACCTAAAATATATATTTTATAATATAATATAATATAAATACTGGAGATCCTTGACTAAAAATAAACTACACTCAAACTAAAAGCAATTAGATTCAATAGACAATGAAACTGAAAAATCTCAGTTCATAGCATTTTTTCAGCACCTGTTTCACATTCCTTTAATGGGTTGAGCTGATTATCATATATGAGAATCCCCTTTCTAGTTTTGTGTTCCTGACATTTTGTAAATGTGTAAAGCCTTAGGAGAGCTTAAAGATTACTTAAACATATGAGCAAGGCTTACATAAAAAGAAAAGTATCTAATCTAATCCATAACTTCTTTTACCTGTTCAGTATTTGGGGTTATACGTACACTGCTTGGAGGACAAGTAGATATTTTCAGAGTTGGAGATTGGAGTTCCTGTTGAGAAAAAAAGGGAGGTTCAGGAACTGTTACTAAGCTGTGTCATTTGAGTATCTTACCTTCTTTAGGTATAATTTCCTTTAATTTTATAATAACCCAGTTTGTCAGAAGAACTTCCAAAGAGCACAGTACTGAATTCCTTTGTCAGCTTTGCTAGTAAACTAATGATAAAATAATTTCTTGAATACTTTCATAATAACACATTCTTCTTGTATTTCTAGGTTACGTCCTTCTTTTCTTCTTGAGATCTCTGCTAATATATATCCCGATGTTATTATAGGTCTGTAATTTAACAAGATGCAAAACTTATCAACACAAAAACATAAAATACAAAAATTTTCTAACCATGATAGAAAACTACCTTTGAAAACTCAACTAAGTCTACTGCTCTGAAAATGCAAATCAAAACTACAATGAGATATTACCTCATAACTGTCAGAATGGCTAAAATAAAAAACACAAGAAACAACATGTGTTGGCGCAGATGTGGAGAAAGGGGAACCCTCTTATACTGTTGGTGGGAATACAAACTGGTGCAGCTACTCTGGAAAATGGTATGAAGGTTCCTCATAAATTTAAAAATAGAACTGCCCAGTGATCCAGAATCAATCACACTACTGGATATTTATCCAAAAAATACAAAAATACTAATTCAAAGGGATACATGCACCCTTGTGTTTATAGCAGCATTATTTACAATCACCAGGATATGGAAGCAGCCCAGGGTCTACTGATTGACCAACAAATAAAGAATATGTGGTCTATATATACAATGGAATATTATTCAACCATAAAAAGAATGAAATCTTGAAATTTGCAACAACATACATGGAGCTAAAGAATATAATGCTAAGTGAGATGTCAGTCAGAGAAAGGTAAATACTGTATGATTTCACTCATATGTGGAATGTAAGAAACAAAACAAATGAGTTGGCAGGGTTGGGGGAAGAGACAAACCAAGAAAGAGACTATTCACTATAAAGAACAACCTAATGGTTACTGGTTACTGGAGGGAAGGTAGGAGGGGGAATGGATTAAATAGGTGATGAGGATTAAGGAGTGCATATGTGATGAGCTGTGGGTGATGTATGGAATTTTTGAATCACTATATTGTACACCTGAAACTAATATAACCCTGTGTGTTAACAAACTGGAATTAAAATAAAAACTTAAAAAAAAAAAGACTACTGCTCTGAGATTACTTCAGTCTAACTTTTAATTATGGTTTGTCTGATCTGCTTCTAGTGAAATTTCAAAGACTAGGCTCTGATGTTAAAAGAAAATGGTCTATAAAAGTGAGAGTATGATTTTTAATAATGATTAGATAAAAGTCACTTTATTGATTATACTGACATTCTTTACATTTTTCCCAAATCAGCGAAACTGTAGCTTTATTAGTGTGCAAAGAGTTGATAGCATTAGTCAATCTCTTCATACATTACTATAATTTACAACCAATTGACAGAACTCCAGGATATATTTCCACAATAAAAACAATTCTTTCTTTCTTTCTTTCTTTTTTTTTTTTTTTAGAATAAGGAGACTATTGAAAATTAGAATCACAGACTTGCAAGGGAAACACTGGCAGATTCATATGGAAGTATAGCTATAATGTAGGTGTAATGTGCTGTTCTTAAAACAAATTGCCAAATATTTTGCATGCTGTGGTTTCTTTTTTGTTTTTCTTTTGGTTCACCTTATAACATTTTCATCCTCCCTTTCCCTGTTACATCAGCATTAATACTGCAAGCTTAATACTTCAAGGCAGCCTTTGCATATGTTCTCAGATTTCCTGCTATAGCTGAGAATTTCTCAGACAAATGCAGAGAATTAAAGATTGTAGGCCAAACAGGTATATGGTCTTCAGCTCTGGATAATGGTTATAAATACAACCAAGTACAGGTGGGTTTGGCCCACAGGGCCAAGAGGAGCAAGTAAGAAAGAGAAAGAGAGGGAAAAAAGAGAGGGAAGAAAGAGAGGGAAGAAAATAAAAGGTGTTTTTTACTTATGCAATAGTACATGAATACATGTGAACGTAAAAATGTATACAGATGAAGTCAAAGATCTTCCCTTAATCATTCTCCCTTTATCCAAATCCCTACCCAGAAATAACCATTATTATCTGGTATACCTTCACATAAATATGTATCTATAAATAATAATATTTATTGTTTTTATTATTCTGCAGTACAAGTAAATATTTTTGTATTATAAATTAGATATGCCTATATAATTATAATTAAATTATAATTTACATAATTGTTTTGAACCTTCATTATTAGAATTGGTCTAGGCAAATGTAGCTTTTCCCATTAAATGCTCATTTTTGCTGCATCTATAAGATGTCACACTATATTTTTTGTTTTTCAAGTTGTTGAACGTAATTCTACTGTTAGATTTGACTAGTTCTTGTAATAGGAAGCTAGATATATGATTTTTTTATTATTTATTATCAAAAGTAACTTTTGAGTGGCTGAAAACAAGAGATCCTCCCAAAAGTGTATGAAAGAATAACCCTGATTAAATAACTTAAACTTCTAAAAATCCAATAGAGTTTTTTCTTTCTTTTTTTTTGGTAGATAATATGATATATTTGCAGAGTGTATTCACAGGACTCCAAACTCAATAAAACATTGAATTTTTCTTTAATATTCATATTCAATTTTTTGGAAGGCCCAACTTTTTCTGATTAAATATTAAACATAGTACTGAGTTTTTTATTCTGTGGCTCATATTTGCTAAATACATAACTATTGTCTTACTGGCAACTTTCTTTAGGTAGAATTCTCATAAAAAATAATTTTGTTTATAATTAGGTGGGCTCAGGCTTATTATAAAATCCAGGCTGCTTTTCCCACACTCTCTAAGGTAATGGTTTTCAACTTTGTAAAATTTTATCGGTCCTCTTCCTCCTTTCCTTTTCTTCCTTCTCCTTTTATAAAGCACATACGGCATTACCAATTTTAATATCGGAGTGGATTAAAATCAGTCTGCTTTTTGGGATAATTTCACTACATCACTTGAGATAATTGTCCATACCTTGGTATACCCAAATCAGAGCTGGGAAGCTCTAGTTTTCCTAGAGAGAATTCATAAAACTGCATTTTATTTCTGTTTGTTAAAAAGCAATGTTTTTCAGAATTAACAAATCATATAGAATGCAAATAGCTCCAATTTCTCAGTTACTTACCTTAGTGTGAGAGCTTTCAAGTAGCTCAGTGAAGTGTAGAAAGAAGAGAAAGCAGAAGCTGGAGAGGTGTTATTCTCCTTTAGGTAGAAGAAAAATCTTAAAAATTTAAGACATACTCTGAATTCCAGGATTATTTCACACACACATATATATATGTATCTATATACATATATATGTGTATATATATATACATATATATATATTTATACTTTCTATTCTGATAATAGAATATTAGAAGGGGGAAATCTACCAAATGATTTGCTGTAAGGGTAATCATCAAATGACTTGTTGAAACCAAAAAATATAAACTTGTTTATACTGAAAATACTTTAGTATTGAACTAAGGCTTATCAAGGTTAATAGTTGATATAGTGAAACTATCAAGAGCCGGTTTCTAAACCAGGACATTTATTAACTAGCTGTTATAACTTGGACAGGTTATTTTGACATATCTGCATCTCAATTTCTTTATTTGTACAACAGAAAAATAATGCACAATGCCTATTTTTATGTGTACACTGTATAATTTATACAATGGATGTAATAATATTTTTCTACTTAATATCTGAAATTCCAGTAGGTAAATAATATATGTAAAAGAATTTTGAAAAATAGAAATACCATCTGTTAGTGTGAGGCATTATTTTTACTGGATTGGTTACATGTGTAATTAAGTAATTTGTTCAATACTTGTTATGTAATAGTATTGGAAGAGATATAAAGCATAGATAGAATACACTCTCTGTTCTCACCAGGCGTATAATTATTTAAGGAGTAAAAACTGTTAGTGTAAATAACAATAGAGTATTATAAGAGCTATGAAGAGCTTACTATGTTTTGAGGGCTAAGAGATGAGTTCAGCCTGGGACAATTTAAGATTTCATCACAAGGTTATACCTGAGGAAAGTTTTGAAAAATTGGTTTAATTTCAGCTCATCTAGATTGGTGAGGATGGGGAGATAAGACATTTCGGGTGTAAGAGCAACAGGAACAAAGGCATATTTATGGAGCTTCAGGGCCTATATTTAGAGAACAACAGTTTACATTTTGGCTGAAATAGAATATTAGAAGGGGAGTTCTAGGAAGTAAGGTCCCTAGAAGCCAGATAATGAAGGGATCTGAAAGTCAGACTAAGAAATTTATAGACACTGAGTGTTATTGATGGTTTCTTCAGCAGAAGAGTGATATGAGGTATTTGTAGGGAATTTAAGCAACTTTTCTAGATAACATGGTCTTAGATTTAATTATGGTTGTGAATATTTTAAATTAATTTTGGCTGAAAACTGAGCAGTAGTAGTAGTTTTTATGAGGGAATCTTTGGGCACACAACTGATAAACTAAAACAATTATAGGGTAACTGAGCAAGATTCAATAAATAAAGTCACTTTACCTAGACAGATTTTAAGTAGCAGGGGATGTAAAGGAAATATCTTTATAAGCAGACTACTAATTAGCAGCTTCAAACTAATTTGCTTAAAAGAAGCAACACAACAAAATCCCAGGGAAATAATGTGATGACAGATCAGAATCACTAACCCTTTAACATAATTTGCCTTAATAAGTAATGATAAATTTTGTTCATAGTGGAAAAAAGGTATAAATCAAATATAAACAACTCAAGTCTGGATTCTTAATGTGAACCAAGGACTAAAACAGAAAACTAATTGGCCTATTAAGTAGCTTCCTAATACTTACTTTATGTTTTTTTCACTTTTTTTAAAGAAGGAATTTGTGCCCTACTTTCCATTTTCTGTTCAAAAAGAAGGCATTGAAGAATGAAAATCACAAATAATCACAACCATATATC